TCAATGCTATCCACGGTCGACCCGAGCCCAGCGAAGATTCAGATGAGCTACTCCGAGCGCGCCTACGGCAGGCGTAGATGAAGAAAAGGGTCAGCAGTGTGAATACTCTACACCAACAGATCACATCGATACAGATAAAGTTCGACAGGACAGACCTGCAGCGTATTCAAGTCCCCCATGAAGACCCATTGGTAGTCAGTTTAACAGTGGCGGACTGCCTGGTGCACAGAGTTCTGATCGATCCCGGGAGCAGTGCGAATGTCATGCCGAGGGACACATTTGATCGGTTCGAGATTAAACCAGAGAGGCTCAAACCCACTGGAAATCCCCTGTTAGGATTCGATGGCAAGAGGGTGGAGCCTGTCGGAATGGTGGAAGTAGAAGTTCAAGCGGCAGAACGAGCTCTTATGGAAACTTTTGTGGTTGTGGAGATTCACCCCTCGTACAATCTCCTGATGGGAAGAGGATGGATTCACAGAGTCCAAGGTGTACCCTCAACTCTGCATCAGGTCATGAGGTGCCTCAGACCCGATGGAAATAAGGTGATAGACATTCGTGGGGATCAGGTTGCAGCCAAAGAGTGTTATTCCGTCACACTAAAGTATGCTGGGAAAGGGAAGGTGTCCGTCCGATCGGCGAGCCCCAGATAGCAATTACAGGAACCTCCGCCCAAGCAGAACAGGGTGGAGGAGTCAGTTGACTTGACCGAAGAGCCCCTTCTGGATGTGCAGATCGATCAGTCCAGGCCAGAGTGAACTACCAGAGTAGAAGTAAGACTAACCAGGGAAGAGCAGCAAGAGCTAATTGACTTCTTGTCTCATAATGCCGATGTATTTGCATGGAGTCACCTAGACATGCCTAGAATTAATCCCTCCGTATCCTGTCATTCCTTAAATGTCAATCCCAATTTTAAACCAGTAAAACAAAAGCAACGAAGATTTGCTCCAGAACGCAACCAAATCATAGCCGAGGAAATTGATAGGCTGCTTGATGCGGGATTCATCAGAGAAGTACACTACCCTGATTGGTTGTCCAACGTCGTTGTCGTGCAGAAGAAGAATGGGAAATGGCGAGTATGCATTGATTTCACCAATTTGAACAAAGCCTGTCCGAAGGATAGCTTCCCGCTGCCAAAGATTGATCAAATGGTGGATGCCACCACCAGGTATGAGCGTTTAACCTTTCTGGACGCTTATTCAGGTTATAATCAGATCCCTATGGACCCGGCAGATGAAGAAAAAACTTCTTTTGTAACCGAGCGAGGGACATACTGCTACAAAGTTATGCCTTTCGGACTAAAGAACGCGGGAGCAACTTATCAAAGACTTGTTAGTAAAATTTTCAAGGATCAAATAGGAAAGATTGTGGAAGCCTATATTGATGATATGGTGGTAAAGAGTAGGAAGAAGGATGATCATCTAAAACATCTGCAAAATGTATTTGATGTGCTGAGGCGATATGGGATGAGGCTCAATCTAACCAAGTGCTCGTTTGGTGTGAGTTCCGGTCAGTTTTTGGGACACGTGGTCAACCGCAGAGGCATCGAAGTTAGCCCCGCTCAAGCAGAGGCTTTGATTAAGAATGCCGAGCCAAAGACGATCAGAGAGGTGCAAGCCCTCACAGGACGAATAGCTGCATTAAGTTGATTCATCTCTAAGTTGTCAGATCGCTGCAGGCCGTTCTTTGACACGATTCGGAGTCATGGAAGACAGGTCTGGGGAGATGAGCAATGACAAGCATTGACCCATTTGAAGGAATATATGCAGAATCCACCAGTCCTGTCAGCCCCGGATCCAGAAGAAAAGTTATTTCTATATTTTGGAGTATCTAGTGTTGCGACAAGTGCCGTTCTGATTCATTGCAAGGAAGGGGTGCAACACCCGGTATTTTATGTCAGTAAAACAATGACCGAGGCAGAACGAAGATACTCGAAGGCCGAATGGGTGATACTTTCACTTGTAAATGCAAAAAGAAAGTTGAGGCATTATTTCGAATCCCACCCTATAGCTGTTCTAACAACTTTTCCAATCAGAGTGCCTATGCACAAGCCAGAACTCTCGGGCAGAATGACAAAGTGGGCCATAGAGTTAAGTTCATTTGACATAATGTATGAGCCGAGAACAGCTGTCAAAGGACAAGCGGTAGCCGATTTCCTGCTAGAATGTGACTCTGAGGATACGGAAGAAGACCTTAGGTGCGGCTCTTGGAAACTTTATGTGGATGGCTCCTCTAACCAGATGGGGGCTAGAATTGGGGTTAAACTGCAAACCCCAGAGGGTACTTCTTTGAGTCAAGCACTCAGACTTGAGTTCCGAGCCACCAATAATGAAGCGGAATACGAGGCGTTGCTGAATGGGTTAAAGTTGGCCAGAGAGCTACAGGTCAGAAGTTTGACTGTTTATAGTGACTCACAGTTGATTGTTCGGCAGGTAAATGGTGAGTACGCGACCAAGGATGACACGATAGAGGCATATCGTTCTGCCGTTCTGCATAAAGCCAAGGACTTTGCAAAGATTGAATTCATACAGTTACCGAGGGAACAGAACGCAGATGCGGACCGGTTAGCATGTAGTGCTTCGAGTTCTGGTGAAACATTGGCGAGGGTGATTCCAATAGGAATATTGACCCAGCCATCTATTTTCGAAGAACCTTTGGACTCTGACCCTTGGCAAGTCAATGTCATACCGTATGAACCGAGTTGGATTGACCCCATCATCACTTATATTCGAGATGGCGTTTTGCCTATGCAAAGGGATGAAGCTAGAAAAATAAAAAAGAATGCTGCAAAATACGCCATCGTGCATAACCAGCTATACAGAAGGTCTTACTCTGGCCCATACTTGAAGTGTGTCACCCCCGCAGAGTCGCAGTAGGTGTTGCGAGCTATTCATGAAGGCGTATGTGGCAATCATTCTGGGGGAAGATCATTAGCGCATAAAGCAATGACACAAGGGTATTTCTGGCCAAACATGTCAAGAGATGCGGAGGAGTTCTCTCGAAGGTGCGATAAATGCCAACGATATGGACCATTGATCCACCAACCACCTGAGGAATTGCACGTAATGGCCTCGCCATGGCCTTTCGCGCAATGGGGGATGGATGTGGTCGGTCCTCTGCCAACGGCAAGAGCTCAGAACAAGTATGTGCTACTGGCCACGGATTACTTCACTAAGTGGGTGGAAGCAGAACCATATCCAAGCGTGACTCAGACTCATGTGAAACGATTTATTTGGAGCAATATTATCTGCCGTTTCGGCGTTCCAAGGTCAATAGTCATGGATAATGGCACGAACCTCGACAGCAAGCAAGTAAGAGAGCTGCTGGAGGAGTATGGAATTAATCAGAAGTTGGCTGCAGTAAGTCATCCCCAGGCCAATGGACAAGCAGAAATTACAAACAGAATAATTTTCGCCTGCATTAAGAAGAAGCTGGAGGACCATAAAGGGAAGTGGTTGGATGAGCTCCCGAACGTCCTATGGGCTTACAGAACCACCCCAAAGCGGCCGACTGGGGAGAGCCCGTTTGCAATGGCATATGGAACCGAGGCGGTTATACCGGTTGAGCACTTGGTCCCAACTATCAGAAGCTTAGCATGGAGTCGAGATCAGAACGACAGAATGTTAAGATTGAACCTCGATATGATAGACAAAAAGAGGGACGCTGCAACAATAAGGTTAGCATCATACCAGCAAGTATTGGCGAATAGTCACAACAAAAGAGTGAAACACAGGGATTTTGCCCCTGGCAATCTGGTTCTGAAAAGAAAGGTGGGGATAGTCAAAATGATGCCACCATGGGAAGGCCCATACAGAATTGCAGAAGTCATAGGGAAGGGAGCATATACGTTAGAGACCATGGCGGGAAGGTTGGTCAGCAAGCCCTGGAATGCCACGTCTCTGAAGAGGTACTACCAATAAAAGCTAAGTTTCGGCTTTATTGGGTGTTGTTTGTTGTCAATCAAGTACGTATGAATGTGCAAATTCCTGAAATTTATAAAAATAACTTTCCTTTTCAATGGGTTTTAAAAAAATGAAAAGCCAAGTGGCAAGTGGCATTCTAGCCGAGCGCCAGGCACTTAAGCAAGACAAGTGGCAGCTGGCACCATAAGCCGAGCGCCAGACACTTGCTAAAAAATGAAAAGCCAAGTGGCAAGTGGCATTCTAGCCGAGCGCCAGGCACTTAAACAAGATAAGTGGCAGCTGGCACCATAAGCCGAACGCCAGGCACTTTCTAAAAAATGAAAAGCCAAGTGGCAAGTGGCATTCTAGCCGAGCGCCAGGCACTTAAGCAAGACAAGTGGCAGCTGGCACCATAAGCCGAACGCCAGGCACTTGCTAAAAAATGAAAAGCCAAGTGGCAAGTGGCATTCTAGCCGAGCGCCAGGCACTTAAGCAAGACAAGTGGCAGCTGGCACCATAAGCCGAACGCTAGGCACTTGCTAAAAAATGAAAAGCCAAGTGGCAAGTGGCATTCTAGCCGAGCGCCAGGCACTTAAGCAAGATAAGTGGCAGCTGGCACCATAAGCCGAACGCCAGGCACTTGCTAAAAAATGAAAAGCCAAGTGGCAAGTGGCATTCTAGCCGAGCGCCAGGCACTTAAGCAAGACAAGTGGCAGCTGGCACCATAAGCCGAATGCCAGGCACTTGCTAAAAAATGAAAAGCCAAGTGGCAAGTGGCATTCTAGCCGAGCGCCAAGCACTTAAGTAAGATAAGTGGCAGCTGGCACCATAAGCCGAACGCCAGGTACTTGCCAAAAAAATGCACACGACAAAGTTAATATAAAAATATATATATATATATATATATATATATATATATATATATGTATTGAAAATGGGTTTGAACAGAGTATAACACAAAGAAAAAAGAGAAAAAAGAGTTCTGTCATCTCATTCATGATAAGCATTGGAGTTACAAAAAATGAAGTATTCAAGTCACATTGTTACAAAAAAGTATGGAATCGAAGAGTCTGGAGGAGTCCTAGCTAGCTGCCTCAGTACCGACAGCCTCCTGGTTGTGCCGATCCGCCTCCTCGGTCCCGTCAGCCATCTCACCCTCACGAGGTGGGGAATCAAGATGAATAACAGAGTCATTCTGCTGGGGGCCAACGTCAGCAGTGACTATGGGAGATACCACAGTTGACGAATGAAGAGTGGTTAGAGGCTGAATGGTAGGAGGAGCTGTAGTGATCCTAGAGGAAGCAATCTCCTGACATTCATCAAATATGTGCTCGGCTTCGGTGGGTTCTGGGTCAACATAGACCCCCAGAGGATCAATCCCTAAATCCTTATCAATCTCATCCGGAGTTGAGCTGGTCTGTCCCTCAGCCGGAACTCGGTCGGAGAAACCATCTCGGAATCCCTGAGCATATCTAAGAGCTCCGACTCTTGAGAACCGAGCATGAAGAGCCAGCATTCCACCATTCACTCTGCTGATGGTATCGATCAGAGCGTTGCGCTCGTCCAGAGCTCTTTTCTCAAAAGCCATCCGAGCAGACTGTTCATCAGCCAGAAGGCGCTGGAGCTCTGCCTTTTTGTCTCTGATTGAATCACGTTCAGTCTGCCAGACACTCTTCTCAAGCTGGAGGGCATCCTTCTCATCCTGAAGAGAGTCGTTTTCCTTCTTCAGGACATCTCTTTCTTTTTCGGTTTCTTCAAGCCGAGCCAATACCTCGGTATTCTTGCTGGCGAGAAGGTCGTTTTCCTTATTAGCCACCTCCAGGCTATCAGAGAACTTACGGGCCCTAGCGTTCCCCATTTCCACCTGCTTCTGCATAGCCATCATACCGAACAAAGTCTGCATAGATATATATGAATACTGGTTAAACCGATAGCCTGGTTGGACGAAGGCAAGACCAAATAGTATGAGAGGATTCATGAGTTAGAAAATAAAAGTCACCTCCATGGCAGATTGGGGAAAGCGGCTGAACACATCCTTTTGGGACAGACCTTTCGCCGCCTCAAGGTCTTTCAGAGTCCACATACTCCTATAATACGCCATGGCGGTCTGGCCATCCTTTAACATGGTCTCGTTCGGCTTCACGAACGTCCCATCCATTCGGGTGTACCGAGGAGCCCATGGTGGTAAAACGGGAAGAGAAGGAGAAGCTGAAGCAGAAGCAGAGGCACCAGCTGCAACAGGCCCGAAGGGGGCAGGAGCTCTGACTGGGCGATGCAAGAGAGCACTCGGCCCAGAGACTCGGGTCCTTCTTATAAGAGGTTCCTCCTCAAGGTTGACTCCACCGTCAGGATGAGGCCTTTTGCCTCGTTCTTTGTCCCGAGCGCCCCCAGCGGTAGCAGAGGTAGTAGTGATTTGTGGAGACGCGCTCGGGTTGGCAGCAGGGGTGCTGACAACAGGATCAATAGCCACCGTACTCGGGATGGTGTCAGAGATGGTGGCTGAGGAAGAGGCTGATGTAGGAGAGGAGGTTGCTCCAGCAGCAGAAGTGGCTGGGGGAATATTTTTCCTCCTACCAAAGGATGGAATCTGAAGCCTGCTCATGGTATAGCCGAGGGATGAGAGCGCTAGAAGGTTGTCTGAAGTGAGGAGGTCTGAGCAAGAAGGAATATCGTTCAGAACGTATTTCTTCAAGTAATTACTCCTATCCCTGCAAACACTATAGCTCAAGTCATCACAAGGTATACCTAAGGAGTGACATAAGAAAGTACAAAAGCGAGGAACACATGTTTCGCAGGGACAATCATTTTTATGAGATTTGAATTTCTTATATGAGGAGACAGAACAGACGCCAAAGGCACTCGGGATTGGGTAATCCTCTGCAGCCGGTGAAGACCAGGCCCCACTAACACCCATAATGTTATCCCTCCAACCCTTTTCAGATTTGATTGTATCCGTACATATGGATATCTTGTCGATCGGGTAGAGGTGGTAGAATGGCTCGTTAGTTCGGATCTTACTGACCTTATAACACAGAAAAAGATCTATGAGGTCAAGGTCCAGACTTCTATCACGAATCAACAGTAGCATAACGGATATGATTCCAAAGAAATTGGGGTTTACCTACAGAGGGGATATCCCCAGTCTATTGAAGACATAATTAAAGAAGGGATGCAGAGGGAACCTAACGACATTCAGTTGAAGGTTTATAAATAAAACTTCGCCGGGAAGAAGGCCGGCACCGGTCATAATATTAACATCCTTAGGGCAAACCCTAACTTGGATGTTGTCAGGAAGTCTAAGTCTCATACGAAGAACATATAGATCTACAACCATGGTGGAAGCGATTGAAGGATCTAAAAGGGTAAAAAGAAGTCTGCCGAAAGTAAAAAGGAACAAAACTAACCTCTGAGGTAGAAAGCAACAAAGAGCACTGCAAGATCGCTGGAAGAATGACTCTTGAAGGATTTCACCGGAAGAAATTTAGCACTGTTCTAAAAAGATGAACGAGAGATTTGACTGATGATGGAGACGGTAAAAAGGTATGAAGTGGTATTCTAGAGCCTTATAAAGGCGAGGTGGACCCGAGGGCCGAAGCGTCAGGAAGGCGAGAAATTCATCGAGCCCCGGAACATTGATTCCGGATTTGACCATCCGTTCCCCCATATGGGTTTCTCGAGCCGTCAACGTCATGATGAGACGCCTTCAATAATTACCCCCTTATTAAACAAGGGGTAATTATGGGGGCAGTTGAGGAGGCCCGAAGTGACATGGGCCGGATATGACCTGCAAACACGACATCCGGTCCGTACAGATGGGTCAAGCCCATAGAAAGACACTGCCATATGGGTCGAACGCGAATAGCCCATCAAAGATGACCAAAACTCACAGAGGAACGGGCCTAGATCTAGCAGTCCATCAATATTTGTAAGTATCTATAAATAGGAGAAGTAATGGATAGAAAAAGGGAGGATATTTTTTGGGTTAAAATGTAAGAATTCTGGAGAGAGAAAGAAAGGATGAATTTCTTGCATCTTTAATACGGTAATCTCAAATTTTTTTTTTTTTTCATGATATTTGGTTAGAAAAATAACTATTCTATGTTTTGTGCTATTTTGTAAGTTAATTATTTTATTTTTTTGGGATCAATTTTGTTACTAGTTTAACATATTTATTTTTGTAGACCAGATATATATTATTGTTGACATGAACACAAGGTGCTAAACACACAGCACCATACACATAGAAGGTGAATCTTGTTATATCTGAATATCCTATCCTTGTTGCAGAGACTTAAGTAGTGAAGAAAGTATAAAATAATAATAAAAAAAGTGTCACTCACTTTTTATTTTGCATTATATAGTATGGGTGAAATCCAGTATAGATTCAGCAAGTGTTTGACACAGTAATTCTCAGTTGGAGAGAGAGAGAGAGAGAGAGGAGAGAACCAACTAAAAGTGGGAGGAGAAAAAAATTGATTTCAAATTGTGGGCTACTTTTGGTACTCTGACCTGCATTTTGAAAATTTCCACTCAAAGGGTATTAACTGAATTTGGTGGCTCTCTGTTACAACCCTCTTGGCTTTTAGCTCATCAGCCAAACTGACATTTACTGTGTGCAATGTTTCATGCTCCTAGAGAAACCCTCTTTAAAACAGACCTTTAGAGAGAGAGACAGCAGCAGATCAGGAGCACGGTAGAGAGAGAAACAAGACAGTATTCTAGAGAGAGAGGAAAGGAAATCGCCATTTGAAGGAAGTGAAAAAAGGAAGAGTAATTAACTTCCAAAAAATAAATAAAATATAGAGTAATGACAAAGGTACTGCATTTATACCCACGCCTACATCAAAACTAGAGCGCTTGATGATTAACCACCGCCTCTGCTACTGTAAAATATAGAGTACTTACTTGTATATACTTGTGTGTATATGTATAATTATATATATCTACACGAATATATACTTTACACAAGCTTTTTTTACTTTTTGATTGTGTTTAGTTTATGTTTATTTACTTCTTATTTTTACCTTTGTTTGTTAACTAATATTTCAATCTAGGTGGTACTTTACTAATAATTTAACACCTTGAGCTAGCAACTGACATTGCCAACTCTCATTAGATATATTATAGTATTAATTATCATATTGTTTATTAAATTATCAAACATTGGGAGGAGAGCTTCGAACTATGATTAGAGTTGTTGGTCAAGTGATTCTTTACAGCTTATTTCACTTTTTATTTTAGGTGGTGTTTTTTAATCATGGATGTAGGACACACAATAAAAATCTTTTTTTTCAATTATACAAGGGTATACCGTACCCGGACTCACAATTATAGAAATTTTGTGCACTTCTTTCTTTAGAAAATAGTGCAGGGAAAGCAAATAAGAACAAGCTAGATCAAACCCAGAAGTATAAAGCAATAATGAATCTGGATGCCATTACAGTTCTTAAATCCACATAATGATAAGATGATAGCCTGCATAATGTCTGGAAGTGACTAACAATTTTTTTTTTTTGGGGGAAAAATTAGATTTCTGTAACCAAACTTGAACAAAATTGGTCTAAATTACGTACACAAATATTTTTAAACTACTACTTTGATAGCATCGAGACAGCATCCAAGTGACCTTACAATTAGAGGCTGGAGTCTCTAGATATACATTCACAAAACAAGTATAATCAAGCATCTGTTTATAATATATAGACACAGGCACTTGCAAGAGTGGCAGCAAAGGGCATCTCAAGGACCTCACCTTTAGGAGATTGGAAAAATTAAAACTTAATAAGTGCAATATTTATAACATTACACAAAATTTGTAAAAGATATATCTGGAATTTAAAAATCAATATAGAAGTAAACTCAAGTTATATTTGAGGTTAGATGATTGCTCTTAAATATTTAAACTTGAGCAAGAATGCAATTGATATCTAGTTTCTTAGACCCATCTGAAGATTTGTAATCGGAATACCCCATGTTCTTACACCATAGATTATTTTGTAGATTTCTATTTGGGCTTGGCAATGATTTGATCTTTTCTCAAAATTTATAGAGCTTTTCTCATGGTAGGCATTATCACCCACATGTTTGTTTAGAGTGTATCACACAACAATTACCAGGGGAATTTCAAGTCTAATCACCAATCTATAACTTGTTGAGCGTTTTAATACATTGTCCCCTATAAGGAAGGTCAGGCACAGATTCCATAACTGGTCACCCTAAGGTATGACTTGAGTCCTGGCCTCTTCCTTCAAGGGCTATCACTCCCATAACCATTGATCACTTTTTTTGCTTTTCGTCCAACTTATTTAGAATCCTTTTGATTACAGTGCACTCCTCCACATTAATATTTCACATTCTCTCCCTAAATTTCATCCATCAACAGTACTTTACACATAAGCACATGTCAATTAACATATGGTATACAATATTTTTCTTGAACATGTAGGATATTGACACAAAGCTTAATCAGAAACACTTTTGCTGAACAATCACATGTTATGGTACTTTCCAATAATTTAATGATCTTCCAAAATGCCACAACCGAATATGAACTGTCATATCTTTAAGTATATATAAAACGTGCAAGGATTTCCCCCCTCCCATTAAATTTAAAGCAAGTTTCAAGTAAAAAAAGAAAAAGAAAAAAAAAACGAGTAAGTATTGCTATTATAGTTCCAAGCCATCCTTCTCAACTTCCTATTTCTTAAGATTTACACCATCATTCTCTCATATATTTTCTTCAAAATTCATAAGTGTAATCCAACTTTAATTGGTAGCAAATTTCTGAACAATATACTAATTATAAATGACTTAAGTACTTGAAGTGGCAACCCAATTAAATATGAGAAAAGTGTGATGCAAGCTGTCTAATATAAGAGATAAAAGGCTCGAGGTCATAAGCTAAATCTGACCCAAAATTTAAAAATTCCTACAAAATATATATTTTCTAATAATCAACGTTACGATAGTTAAAACCCTTCTTTCAACATGTTCAAATAGTATTAGGTTTTATTATATGAAAGGAAACCTAAATAGCCATTTTGAAACAATGTATTTTCTATGAAGCTCATTAAAACTCATCAAGTTCACAGAAAGTATTGGAAGACATGAACTTGTTAAAATTCATAAAAGACACCACTAACATCCTTTTGATAGACTTCAAATGTTGCCAAGAGAATCTCTCTCCTAATTGATCTGATTGTTTGAGAAATTCATAGAATATAATTCAATACTTAACATTTAAACATCACAAAATTGTTATAAATTTTTGTTTGTTAAAAATACAAATTGTTATCCATATAATCCACCACAGAACCAAGTTGGTTTATCCCCACTGATTTCACTACATTGAAAGAAAGAATTTACAATCAATTAGTCACATTATGACATAACTTCTTAAGTATTCAATCCAAAATCCATTACACCAAGATTCAAAAAATTGCCAAGGCAGATTAGAAAATTACACATAAAATAGAGATATGGCATACCTGGCAAACCGCTTTGTGCCTATAGCATCAATTTCATCTATAAAAATAATACAAGGAGATTTCTCCTTCGCAAGCTGAAAAGCATCACGAACAAGTTTTGCTCCATTCCCAATGA